GAGGAAATCGTTCCCTAAAGCAAGTTTCAATCACGAATGAAATTCTACCAAGAGCGTCACCAGATAGTAAGGAAGAAGCAATGTTTTGCATGAAGAGAAAGCCGTCTCTGTATCTGTCCTTGACATAGCGTCACTCGCGCTGCCCGGCCCCCCTTCACCCCGGGAGATTTTCTCATGAATCGAGGCGAAATGACTGACCACGTACACGATCCAAAAGGGCTCGAAACCTGGTTAGGTAATCGCGTAGAGCAACTTTCCCGTGCAGAATCGCATTAATCCTGGCCAATTGGTCCGCCGCCTCGCGGGTTGCCAACGTTCCCGGCCACGTGTCTTTCAGGGCATTGAGGAACGTATCGAGTATATCGAGCGTGAAACCAGCCAAGCCGTCCTCGACTAGGCCATGGTGAAGAGTCGGTACCCCGTCATTACTGACCTCAGTCGCATCTTCCGTCGGCAGGCGTCCACGGGGTCGAGCAGGCCCGGCCACCGCACCGACCCTATCGCAGACCTTCTCCAACGCTCCGAGGAACACCATTGTGATGTTACCTTGGCTGGCCTCGTTGGCGGTAGCACGTACGATGTGATGAAGTCGGGAACGTATTTCAGTCATCTCCGCCTGTAGTTCAGTCCCGGTATTGTCCTTCACGATGTTGTCGTACCGATCGAATTGCTCGTCGAATCGTCTCCGCAATTTTTGTCTGAACCCTAACGCTAAGTCTCTCGGCATCATTCTACGCAGCAGGGTCCACGTGGTCACATCGTGCGAGCCCCATTGCATCAAAGTCGCATGCAAGTCATCTCGGACGGTCCATTCGGTGGCGGTTCTTCTGGATTGTCCCTGGGTTATTCTCTCATAGACTTCGGGCCTGAATTCCGTCGGTAGGGTCCATGGGTCGAAGGAGGAAATGATATTCCTGACGAGGATCTTCCTCCCCTCCAAGGTCGCCGCCTCGAACTGCATCTCCTCCGGCCGCTTGTGGTCCGGCCCTGCCCCAACAAGAACGACGCGCGAAGGCGGCTCCTCAGGACTAGACATTGTGAGAAAGTGACTGGAGAACGAACCTCGGTGACTTCAAGATCGTAATTTAGCTCATATATATAGGGAGGGA